CTACAAATCATCATCCAGGTTGCATAGTGTCAATTTTCTTCACGACTTGGGATCTCACTTCCATAATTAATTGTAAACAAAACTCTGAAAAATCAATACTTCTCAGTGTCCTTAAATAAAAAGTATATCTACTACAATTAGTAAAGTAAATTGGGCACCTACACTCCTACAAATCATCATCCAGGTTGCATAGTGTCAATTTTCTTCACGACTTGGGATCTCACAATTTTCTTAGTCTCTTTTAATGATTTGTAGTCCATAAATCTACAAAAGAGAGAAACAAAATTTAAATGCTGAATTTGATTAATTTTAAGTGCAACTATAATTCTCTCACTCCCCCCTTTTATGCCCTTGAGATTAGTCAAATATGTGCACCTATGTGTCACACGATTTCTTGTACAAATCTAAGATAAGAACAAAAATCAATAATTTATGCCTTCATCTTTCCACTTAAAAATGGCAATGGGTAATCATCTTTGTTATCACTTCAGGTAATGTGTGGGTGCAGTAAGATATAAAAGTCATTGACATACATTATGTAAAGGAACTCGATAGAAGTATATTTCTAATTTTTTGTCAATAATTTAAATTCTATAAATATCTAAATTGAATACCATAGATTTTAAAAAACATAAATATCTCAGTCAATACTCCAGGAATTTGAAAATCATTAGTGGTCCTGAAATCACCCCCACTAAACCCGAAAATCAGTTGACTAAGGAAGGGATTACAGAAAATTGATTCGATTAATAGATAGCTATTTCAACTGTAAGGTAGTACCCTAAGGAGGATATTTACTAATGCACGAATAAAACTATGAGATTTCATTCTTAGGTGTTACATACCTTAAAATGAATATCAACGGTACATAAACACACGTATTTGCACAAATCAGATATGTTCACAGGTAACTATTCTTTGCTTACTTGACATGGCTCAACCAAAACCTAGGATATAGTAAAATTAATTGCACATTATCCATTAATTGGAAATCAACCAAATTAAAAACTATTGATCCATGAAAGTTTGAATTTTTAAAAAGTAACCAAATAAAAAAAAACTTACCGTTTTGACTAATAAAATATAGGTTACCAGGAGTAAAAATATTTTGTTTGGGTAAAAGTCAAAACTGGATTTCTGAAATAATATTTACATAAAATAATATATTGAGAGAACCCTTAGGTTACATCACGTCATCACCCATCGTCAAACCTGTATTCCATTTTAGCACAAACATATAAAGAATAAATGAACTCTTCACGGTGTTGAGGTGAACCTCTCTCAAACATATAAAGAATAAATGAACTCTTCATAGACATTATTACAAATACATTACTATCAACCTAAACATGAGTGTGAAAATGATATTAACATACACATTATATAGATTCTTTTTTATAATACAGAGTATATTAAAAAAACAATTGTGCAATTAATTTATGAGCTGAATACTTCGCAATGATTGTTCAAATGGCCTAGAATAGTTGCTTGTTTTTAAGAGAATACTTTCTCCGTACCATTTTCAAAATGAAAATTTTAAAGTTTAAAAAAGTGTTTGGATAAACATAGCAAAAGCATGATTAAAATTTAAAAATATAATAAAAATTTAGTTGATTGGGGTGAAAATAGAAACGGTGCATTCTGAAAGCAAAATTTTAATGAAAACATCCTTACCCCTTTTGTCTTGCCGTCAACTTCTTCCCTCCGCAAGCGTCACACTTCACGGTAGCACAGCCAACTGTTCTCCCTCTTTTTCGCCTAACCATTATTAGCAATTGTTGCCCCTGTAATTAGGAGTATGTAACCGGTTCTAGTATGGTTCGTATAAAATAATTAATGAAATAACTTCCATAGCATTAAATTTTCCACATTCGCAGGGAAATACTAAGCTAGGACCAATAATACGAAAGGATAAATTATTGGAACTTACAGTTATCGGTTAACCAACCTAAAGATTATTTCAAAACCTTAACCGTTAGTTCAAATAATATATCCATTGGTATTAGTTTCCACATTCTAGATTACCAAATACCAAAGATGATGTTTATAAAAAAAAATATCTGACCTGATAGAATAGAAAATTGTGATGCTTTGTTTATCGCAGATTAAAAGTAAAAAGACTTCATTCATACCAGAAACTCGTATGAGATCTTGTTGATATAGATATCAAAAACCTATTAGAAAACTACATGTATCCTATTTGTGCAATACTGCAATTTCATAACATCTGAAATAAAAAGGTAGACAAAATATAAAAAGTGAAGAAATATATCTGGAGTGCAAGCACATTCAACCATCAAGATTTGCTACTATGAAGTATGAAGTGTATATACATACAGTTTACAAATGCAAGTGAAAGAGTAAGGCACCTTTTGAATTTCAAACATGTGGTGTTCATTCCTAGCTCGAGACCCTCCAGCTTGTGAGATGACTCCTCCATCACCTTGAGCCACTTCTCTATACTCTTCACTCCCTTAACTAATGCAATCTGCTACCCATATTTCTGTTTCTTCATTTAGTATCTCCTTTTCCACACTTCTTGAGTGAGTGACATGTAAATTAGGAAATGTATTAGGAATAATAAAGCTAGTCAATTGAATATAGTTTTCAAATTCGTAGCTTCAACTCAAGATGGATTAAAAATGAATAACTACAACACTTTTAGGCAGCTTTAACTTGAAATGAATAGATGGAACTCATATTCTTGCTGGAAAAAATTATGATGTCAATTATCCTAATAATAGGAGAACTGCTTTCATCACCTCATTCTCAATCTCAATTGTAATTCATTTATCTTTAGCTCAGGATGGCAAGTCAAAAGAAGTTGCTACCAAGCACTCACTTCATCACAACTTACAACTTAGAAACCAACCACATGTTTCAACTGCAAGAGTTTTGAATGATCTTTATGATCGAGAAAACCATTGCAAGGATATGGAGTATAACTATGTGATTACCCTGATTTGCAAAGAAAATGCCCTTATTCTAAAATCAAAAACTTTGAGTCCTCCGACATCATCTGGTAGAAAATTGAATCTCTAGCTGCAAAAGCAAATCAATTCATATATTAGAATCTTTGAATTTTAAAAGCACCAAGTATTACAAACACATAGTAGCTATAATAGACATTATTACAAACACAGAGTAGCTATCAAACTTATCACCATTGAGTTTGAAGATGAGATTAGCCTACACCCAAAGATGTTTTCTGTAAAACGGACTACAAAGTACATACTAAAAACATTACATTTATGCCTAATAATTCTAGCATACCTTGACACCGAGTAAAGGGTCAGTTTGGTCCTCGAAGTTGCAAAAAAGGGGTCAAATAAGTCCTTATATAGAAGATTCTGTCCGGACGTGCCATTTGAGGTGGCTCCCGATAGAAGTTTTTGATGAAATTTTTTGAGCATCTTATTCATCAAGTCTAGTTTACTCATACCAAATTTCAAATAAAAGTTCAATCTGGAAGACATTCAAATGAATTCTTGAAGATAACTGTGCTTTTAACGACACAATTATCTTCAAGAATTCATTTGAATGTCTTCCCGGTTGAATTTTTATTTGAAATTTGGTATGAGTAAACTAGACTTAATGAATAAGATGCTCAAAAAATTTCATCAAAAAATTCCACCCGGAGCCACCTCAAATGGCACATCCGGACAGAATTTTCTATATAAGGACTTATTTGACCCCTTTTTTGCAACTTCGAGGACCAAACTGACCCTTATCCCCCTTGACACCAGAAGCCCTGGGGAGGAAACCTTATTCATCTTCTTCTTCCTCTCTGACTGTCTACACACGCCTTGTTGGTATCCCCTCCGCCCCATTAATTTTGGCGTCATCTCTCCGCAGCCACCGTTGTTGGAAAGAGAAGCTCTGGGTCCGCCATCCCGCAACCCCAAAATCAAAAAATTACTTGTTGAGGCACCTCGTCGGGAGCAGTTGGCCATTGCGGTTGCCATAGTCTCTGGTTCTGCGGTACTGCAGTGGATACTGCTAGCCGTGGATTGCCGATTATTTGCCTCCATGCCAATTCCTGTTTTTTTTGGGTGGTATGCCAATTGAAATCGGTGATATGCCAAATGAAATCGGTGATATCCCTTTTAAGTTGCCAACAAATAATATAGCGGGTATACAGGTAATAGATTTGATTTTTTAGATAAAGGACAACCAACTGAACCAAGTAACCAACAGTCTATAGGAGTGATTCTGTGTGAATGGACAACACGGTATGACAATTTCACAGCCATCAAATAAACTTTAATTAATGCTGACATTGCTTTGATCCATGTCCCATTTTTATAAAGTTATCGATGTTGGACCCATCTTTTATTATGAGTCATTTGACCAACTGGCTACTTCTCTGCAAAAGTAATTGACCGTCCTTATCGCTTGATTTCATGACCCGTTTCACCCATATTTTTGACCCATATTAGACATGTGGTTGGGCGGGAAAATTTGCCATTTTTCACCTCTTTTTATATATAGTTAGATGCTTTCAGTTAGGGGTGGACTCGGGCCGGGTGGCCTGGCCCAGAACCGGCCCGGTTACTGTGTGAACCGGCCCAAACCGCCGGCCCGGCCAGGGACCGGTTCGATACGGCCCGACCCGCTGGGGTCCAGTTCCAGGCTCGGGCCCCTCAAATGGTGAACCGGCCCGGCCGGTTCGGGCCCGGTCCAGGCCGAATTATTTTTTTTTTCTTTTGTTTTTTGAATTTGTTTTAAGTTTTTGGGTTGACCTGGGTATTTTGGGCCATTTGAGGTGGTTTGGGGTGGTTTGGGGTTGAGGGAGAAGGTAGGGGGTTGATTAGGAAAACCCAAAAAAAAAAAAAAATTGAACCGAGGCCCGGCCCCGGGGGTTACCCGGGCCGGTTCCGGGCCTCCCCTACCATGAACCGAGGCCCGGCGGGGCCCAGGCCCGAACCGGGCCTGAACCGGCCCGGGTCCATCCCTACTTTCAGTGAACATGGAATTCTTGTCAGCTACTCAGCTCTAGCTATTTGAACGTTAAGATTTTCTTAAAATTAAAGCCGGGGATGCCGAAATCAAACATCAACAGCATTCCTAGACTAGATTCCACATCCTCCAAACAGAGCCTAAGATACAACCAAAATGCTAAGACCAAACAAAATCCATAGGAATGATAGGATCCACACAAGCGTACAAGAAAGCATGGCCAATAGCAGGAGCCACAACTAAAAAATGGCAATTATCATTCAACTATTTCTTTTCTTGTAACAACTTAAAAAGCATCATCAGATGATCAGATCTAATTCCTGGGTTTTTTCTCCCAGTCTTCTGGTGAAGATATAATGTCCTCCTGACCACGCCAAAGTATCTGAAACAGAAGGGATGTTGATATTAGCATGCAAGCACCATTTCTTTTAACTAGGGCTTGTTTGGCAATATTTTAATTTTGTTTCATTTTCACTATTTCGAAAACAAAAAAAGCACCCATGACAGAAGTGTTTTTGTTTAGTACGTCCAAAACTAAAGTCCATGTTCATAATTTGAACAGACCTAACTTCTTTTTATATATCCCAATTCACACTTCATCTCTCTTAAACTTTTGAAATTATTTGACACAATTGGCCTCACCCACTTCAGAGACAATTTACGAAAGTGCATTCCTAAAAAATGCACTCCAAATTTAACTTAATTCCATTAAAAACTGGGCTAAAAGCAAACAAGCATTTAATTTATAAGGGAGTATAAATCATGCCTTGGCCAGTCTGCAACTTTTCAGATTTGGTAACACCGAGCATAAATCACAATCATACTTGTATTTTAAAATTTAATTGTTAGTTTAAATAAGTGTATTTGTGTTCGGTGCCTTTTCTATGATTTTTTTTAAAAAACCACGTGAAAATGTAGCTTCCTTTCAACAAAATAGATTGTTTTTGGAATGGAGTATACAACAGACTTAGCAATAAAAGAACAAAATATATGTAGTATAGAACATGAAAACAAAAAAAGAAACATTGCCAAATGAACCCTAATGTGTTCATTTAATTAAAAAAACCACAGAGATAGTACAAGGATGCAATGAATAATCTAACGAGCTAGCTATCAGAATATACAGCTTTTACTAGAATAGAATGCCATAATAAGCATTACGATGCCAGATAGCAAGAATCTAAAAACAGGTGCAAGTTAACACGGACCAGGAGAGAAACTCTACCTTGTCAACGACGCCAAATTCTATTGCTTTTATAGGATCCATGTAGAATGGCCTTTTCATCACATTAGCAACAGTCTCTACAGGCTGGTGGGATATGGATTCACATGATTATTTGTTTCATTAGGTTTATAGATTGAAAAACAAAGAAATAGTTAACTACTTGTTAAAGCATAAAAATTCATACTTACATTTCCAGTGTGAGTAGCCAAAAGCTCGACAAGCATATCTCTTTGTATTATCGCCTGAAAGACTATATTTAATCAGCACATGGGGAAAAAACGAAAAACAAAACCTTACAAGACACCTACAATTACTTAAATTCTACAAAAATGGTTCTAAGTCAGCACACGCATATATATGGGCCCTTTATTCTATTTATTAATTTTCAGGTATGTTTTTTATTTCCAACATGCCATTAGCCAAGCTGCACAAAGTCTTCATTTCAACCTCAGATTCATGGCCCTATGCTGGAGATGGATCATCAAACCATGAGCACGTCATACATATCCTCAACATTCACTAAAACTACTAGAGGTTTTGGTATCCCAATGTCAGATGAATCAATAAAAGCTTAGAAACATCCTTTAGAAGCTTATTAAAGTTGATACGAGAAAATAGTTCATCCTTTGAAACTCATGTGGGAGCGTGAGAACATGGGAGAGCTAAGCTGACCTCTTTAGCACGAATGAAAACATCACTGGCCTGTAGCAACCCAGATGATGGTACCCGAGGCTGTTGAATCAGAGCTGGGACAAAAATTGAAGTTCTTACAGATAAACTTCAAATCACTGGATATGTAAAATATAGAGGTAGAGAGGATACCTTTTGAATGCGGCAGCATAAACCTTTTCCCTTTAGTTCCTGCAGCCAGCAAGAGACATGCCTGACCTATGGCAGCCCCAACCGCAACAGTATGAATCTGCATATCAAAGAGGCAAGAAAGTGTAAAAAAGAATAACCAATAATCTGGAAATATCTAAAATGTAATGGATAATATTACGGAGGAAATTCTAAAATGAAACGAACACTGAAGATACATAAATTTCAAAGCAATTAGATCATGGCAATTGACTACTATCCTCAAATATTGATAACATGGTTGGAAACCAAATAGATAATTAATTTCCCTCCTGAAGATGGCGATGGCATACAATGTCCAGGATCTTGACCAATGAGGATCTTTATAAAGAAACATGTGACACGTAGGATAGCCATATAAGCAAGTGACCGGGAAAACCTATTGTTTTCCGGCTAAATGGTTTAATTGCGCATTTCTTACAATTGTGATGGTATAATTGGTTGATATTAAAGTATGAGGTCCTAAATCCTAATTGACTTTTTTGACATAATAGGACTTATTTGACAGTTTTCCCTATTAAATATATCAATCATATATCATGTGTTCAATTTTTATATAAAAAGTATGTACACATTATTCATCATACAAATTTCTATGGATAAATTTAGTTTCATTCAACATTCGTGCGACAGGTCGATTGACTAGTACATAATTATCAATGGTTGACTACATCTGGAAAACATTCTGGCATACAGACATGAAGTAGTAGTGTAGGCTACTACACTGTGTAGTAGCACAGCCATGGTGGGTGGGACTGCACCAGTTTCCTATGGGCATGGGCACAAATGTGCCTCTCTAGGTGATACGGGGCAATAGACAAACAATTATCAGCTAGGCGGACGCCTAGGCGGGGTATTGAAATCACAGCTGGGCGGACGCCTAGGCAATAGACAACCACTTATCAATTGCAATACTTTATTCAAGATTTACTAATTCCAAATACGACAACAATCACATTCCAAGTGTGTCCAACATAACATACTCAAAAATAAGAAGACTATGAATATGGATGAGTGGATTATGTTATGATACACTGAGAAAAATGGAAAGTCAAGAAAGAGTTTTTAAAGTTATGAAACCCATTTAGAAAAAGGATAAACATAAAGGCATCGTTGTGCCTCCATAATTTTTAAATTTTTCTTTGAAATGGTTAAAACCAGCGTGGTTAGATGGTTAGACACATTGGCGGGCACCTAGGTAGCACGTGTAGCGCCTATGCAGTGCATTAATCATCAGGCGCACTGGAATGTTTTGAGCACAAAGATGCGCATTAATATTTTTCAGGGTCAAATTCCTTACCACCTGGCACCTAGAGCAAATTTAATAACAGAGCATATCACACAAGTAACATTGTAGCAGTTGAAGCTCAATGGTAGTTTGAAACAATAAGAAAATAGCTGATTTTTTCTGTATAGCTTATATAACAGAGGAGCATCTCAAATAGATCCATAACATCACCCAAGTATACCTATAGTAGCAGATAAAAAACTGAAAAAAACTAACCGTAGAAGTAGACATGCATCACATATTAAATCTAGAATACTTTGACAAGGCAGAAGATACATACCTCGTTTCTCAATTGCATCATAGCATCATAAATTGCAAAGCCTTCAGTTTCCATGGCGACCTTTCATTGATGAAAAGAAAGAATCATGGTAAATGTGAGTACGTGACAAAGAAAAAATAAAGAACACAGCCAGTACAGTATAAGTGGATAAAACCAATGCATAATTCAACCTAGTGGTGGCAAAATAAATGGAGTGGATAAAAGAATTGGAGTATAATGTATGGACTACTAAGGATCTACTAATCCATTAAATTCATTACAACCAAATCGATTTAAGATCTATGAATAACATCCAACTGATCTACCCTTTCAAATAAACTTCCATCTGATCTATCCATCAATAATGCTATCAGGGTGGATATTCTATCCATCTATTTGCTTATTTTTTGCTAGTATCGAGTTGATTGAGAAGTGCATATGTTATGCATTCGTAGATATAGCAACCAAGATAATAGTAATCAAAGCAAAAATAGATAATCAGTAATAAATGAGAAAGCCCCAAATGGTATTATGGGTATAAGAGGCTCTTTTTATGTTATCCGAACAAGCTAAAGAAGTTAGTTAAATGAGTTGTGATGTCTGACCAGAATAAAGGACATGGAAAACTCACAGTCTCTCCATCATCACGGGTAGTCCCAGTAGAGTTGATGTAAAGATAAATAGGCTTCTTGGGGTCCATATATTGCAGGTACATCAACTCTGAGAGTACAAGCTCTGTGACAGCAGGTACCAACTGAAAAGATATTGACACTTAATAGAGCATTTTAAATGATTTCCAAGGACTACATACATCTTGCAATGGAGGGTCATTAATTCATTGTCAGTTAAGAAATGGTACTAGAATAGATGACCTATATTGTGTAACTTACTGGCATCCCAATATAAACTATTCTACCCTGGAGCAACAATGACGGCAAATCTGGGGGAGGTTCATCTCGCCCATAATCACTGTATGAATCTGACCTCTCCACCTTATCAAACACAAAAAGCTTCAATTAGAAGGAAAGAAGTACTAATTCTGAGTAAATGACAAGCCAAGCTAGGAAAACAAAACAAAACATCAAAGATCTCGAAAAGAACCCATGAAATGCAATGAAGCCTGTAAAATATGATCCATCAAAGCACACCACGGAATCAGTTCAAAACCAACCACGCCCAGACAAATTGCTGTCCAGGAATATGAACTTATGCATAACTTCTAAAACACAAGTACCACGAAGACTGCGCTACTTTTCCTTTCAAATACTTGAAAAAGTCAATTGGTAGAATGAACAGAAATCGGAATCCGATATTTTACATTACCAAACCTGCTCAGGAGCGGCCATGAGCGTGGGGGAGTCAAAGATATCCAAATACGGAGGCTCATCAGAATCGGCTGTCCGATTATAGAGAGCTTCAGGATTTTTAGCAGCGACTGAAGCTAGCTTCGTCAGGAAGGGGTCTCCAGGGTTAACCGGAGGCAAGGAGATCTTGGCACTGCTTCTGCTACTGTTAGATGAGCACATTACACTAAAACAACTTCGCCTGAGGGAAAAGGTTGAGGGCGAAGAGGACGGAAGCATAGACGCCATCGGCAATGTGGTGGTGGTGGTCATCCTCTCGCTACGATTCCTTGTCTTTCTTTGGGGAGGGATATTGCATAAGAAATTGAAATCGTTTTATTTATGCAACATTTTTACAGAAATACTTTAAAAAAAAAACTTTTTTGTGTGCACTTAAAAAAACAACTTTAATACAGAAATTGGATTTTATTTTGACAGAATTTTGGAGTTTTCTAGTTTGGGGTAGAATTGAATATCCGAATACAAGGACCTAATAGATCATGTAGAATCACAGAAATCCAGGAAAAATGATGAAAATGTGATACATGTAAGATTACTCCCTATTATTAATTTGAATAAAATGGAAAATATTAAGGTTTCACCTAACAAAAATTGTGATGCAAAACTTAATTATTCACTTCATTATGCAAAACTTAATTCCAAATTGTTTAGTTTTTTAAAATAGTTGAGGTAATAAAGTAACCAATTCATGTCATGTTGGTAAGTTTCATTACTTTAAAAGTAAATGTTTTCTAAAATTGGGTAAATCCGTATAATTCTAGTATTAGAAAACTTTGATACATATGAAATATAAGCCTTGTTGGTACATAGCATTTTTACCATAATACATAAATTTAGAGCTATACAAAAGTTTTGGCAGGTATATTATGATCTTTGCCACAAAACTTTTGAAATCGTGTGATACCAATTTTTTTTAATAAGTTATAGGTACGAATCCAAGCACAACAACAACATCAACATTCAAGTAATCCTAAAAGAATTTGAAGTCGACTAACATGAATCGATTCATGATATAAGTGTTAAAAAGAGAAGAAAGATAACAGAATAAAAGGTAAAATAAAATGAATAAGATAAAGATAATATAACCAAGAGAAATGTTCATGTCTGAAAATCCCCCGTCCGAGCACCATCCGAACATGGACGTTTGGGACATTTCCCGATGAAATTTTTTGATGAAATTCTTTGAGCATGTACATCATCAAGTCTAGTTTATCCATACTAAATTTTAGCTCAAAATTCAAATGAGAAGGTATTCAAATCATTTTTTGAAGTTGACTGCGTCAAAATATACATATAAAAACGTAGTCAACTTCAAAAAATGATTTGAATGTCTTCCTGATAGAATTTTGAGCTGAAATTTGGTATGGACAAACTAGACTTGATAAGGAACGTGCTCAAAAATTTCATTAAAAAAATTCATCGGGAAGTGACCCAAACGTCCATGTTCGGACAGTGCTCGGACGGGGATGTTCGGACCTAAACATTTCTCATATAAGTGATATAACCAAATCCATCACTGAGTTACCACAATATGGTCTCAAATATGACTTTATTTAACTTTTTAGCCAGAAACTCATACATCACATTGAACAAATAAACCGTGTTTAAATTTTAAGCTACGATTGCATGGTTGAAGATTAATCACAAGTATATAATACTTGCTAAGAGTTTAAGACCAAAAGAAATATGTCAAGCCTAGGGGTGCTAACAAAACAAGTCTATTTTCAAACTATTCAAGATCAACTCGATTCTTACTCGAACATAATCAACTATATTCAAACTCGAATTGTACTCGAACTCGAACGAAACCAAGTCAAACTCAAGTTATAGTCGTACTTGACTCGAAAAGCTCACAAGCTACTCAATGGTTAGTGTTGATTATTTTAAACTCATACATATGACATTACATAATACGTATATTCTATGTATCCATGCATACAAATTATATTTAATTTCAAAGTGTTATGAGGATTATGGGCATTCTCAGGCAACGCTAAAGCAGAATTAAGTAGCACTAATTAAACTTAGTTCATCATAGGTTTAGATAACTCATAGAGACGAAAAGATTCCTAATATAGAAGAAACAACTAGGCAGAAATTTAAAAAAAAAATGTTTTTATGTTTAAAAAATTATTGATGATTGCACATGTGTGTTTAAATGTATAACAAATCAAACTTTATTCTCAAAAAAAAAAATCAAACTTTTATATAAAAATATAGAGATATTACCCAAAATAGGACTAAAAGAGTTTGAAAATTCTAAAATAGGACTTCCATGTTTTGATTCCCAAAACAGGACTAATTACTGACATGTTTTGGCAGTACTAGACTTCAAACATGACAGTATTTTCGAAACTTGACAGTAATCACTCCTATTTTGGGAATAAAAACATGTCAGTCCTATTTTGAAATTTTCAAACTCTTTTAGTCCTATTTCGGGAACTTTCCCAAAAATATACTCCCTTCGTCCCGCTATGATTGTCCCATTTTATCTTTTCGGTCCGTCCCACTGAGATTGTCTCATACCTTATTTGGTAAAATTTGTGTGGTTCTAAATCATTCTTATTTTATTCTTACTTTATCAATTCAATATCAACCACGTAAACCCACTTTTATTAATAACCGTGACACCTTCTCTTGTCCCAAACTTAGTGGGACGGAGGTAGTATCATTTTTAGAATAGATAAAACTCGAAATCAGAGTCAACTCGAACCAAGCCATAAATTTTTTGACCCAACTCGATTTAAGCTGAACTCGAGCTCGACTCGCTCAATTTGCACCACTAGGACTCAAGCCTGTGTCTGAACAAACAAATAAGAGAGACATATTTGATGAGATTATAATTGAACCAGCGAGTCCTAATTGATCTGGCGACTACTATAAACACATAAATGTAGCTTACTAGACTAACATTATAAGTAGAAGTTAATATATCAATACATGCATCTCATGCTTCTAAACTATAAAGTTCACACCATATGCCGTTTTGGTTTCTCATCACCCCCCACCAGCCACCAGCTATCGCTTCTCCTGAATCAAATAAGAGGAGAGAAATTGTTATCAACGGATGCTATTAAAATTAGGCAATAAACAACTACGGTAATATTTGTTACCTCGAATTACCGAAGGCAGAAGTATAGACTGCAAACCTCATGGCATCAGATAGTACATTCCTGCTTCCAATCCCAGTTTATATTGTTAAAACAAATCAAACAAATCATCTGAGCCATAATTTATAATCACCAAGAAATAATCAATCAAGTTCAGTTCTGAGAACTATTTGTTAGACAAGCAACTACTGCTTAGTGAAATAAAAAACACTACCTTGTTGCTCCTCGCTTGAACACAAACATGACAGAGAACAGCGGGCATGTCTTGATGTCATGCACATATAAGTATCACTAGAGTTCCCTCTCCTTCAACAGCTTTTTCTTGAGCTGCTACCCACATAAGCTAAAAATGTTTTGCAATGAAGAGTGTTGGATCTAGCTCCTCAAAAGATTCATACTGGGAAAGCTTCCCTTTGGTTTCTATAGACAGCTGCCTTGAGTTCACAGAAGTCAGTTTCAGTCAGCTTTCTATGGGGGTTTTGTTATTATGGCAGGGCAGTAATTGAAGGCTGAGACCTTGAACAGTCTTTATAATTGTCTGAGGCAAGAACTTGCTTCAGAATTTCTAGCTTCATGTCTGGAATCACAAATGGCCCAAAAAACCTAATATGTAATATGGAGACTTTGATAACTCGGTCTTTTCCTCTGGATCGAATCCCCTTATCCCCTAATTGAGAAAGAACTGCTTAGCATTGAGAAAAACTGTTATAACAGCAAGGGTATTTTTTACCGATGAAAAAGGTAGGGTACAATAATTCTAGCTCAATGTTACCTGTGTTTCAGATGGAAATAGGGAACTTTAAAAAAAAACTACCTAAGCTTATTGCCTTATTTCATGTTTAATGCTACGTATATCTCTCAAATTTATTTGGATTTCAATAAGCACAAAACTTGCTTCAAATGAGAAAGCCATGTACCTGAACTCACAGTGAACACACATCTCTAGCACTTCTGTGGACAAGCGGTCGTGCAAATCTCTTGAGATTTAACATCTGTTTCAACAATTGCCAATAGCAATCCCTAAACAAAAGAGACAAAAAGTAAGCACAATGACAGCAGCTACTTAAATTATACTCCGTATCAAATAGCAGAAAGTTTGTGAACTTCATTATTGGGCACCCATCCAGTCATCAACATGTGCGGTAAGCTGGTAATATACATGTTAAGCAGTCTTCCACAATCCATGAATTGCGGTTTACTGACCCTTCCCTATCAAGCAAAACCCTTTGCTACTTTTCATATAGCATGCTTGATAATATGTCTTAGTAGAATCAATTGGAACATGCAAATGTAAATAGCAAAAGGACAGAAGAAAAAAGAAACCTTACCATTTTCTAGGCCCTTTCATTTAGAACCTCTGAGTTATTTTCTGCGACAAAAATGTGAGAAAAGGGACCTAGGTTTTTGTTAGATTCAACCCAGCTCTTTCCAGGAATCTTTTCCACCTTCTTCTGTCGCATCGCCCACCAAACCTTGAGAGCATCATCCCACCGTCCAATTGCTTTGTACACTTTACCCAAATACACATAACTCATATGATAATCGGGTTTCAATTCAATTGTTCTCTTTGATATTCGCTCTGCAAGGGCTGGATCTGTAGTGCTGCTACAAGCTCCAAGCAGGCAAATCCAAAGAGAAGGATCACTTTTGAAGTCTGAACTGTTAATCAAACACTCTGCTTCTTCGAGCTCCCCGGCCCGACATAGAAGATCAACCATGCAGCCATAATGCTCAAGCCCGGCTTTAATTCCGTAATCATGTGTCATGGAATTGAAATATTTACGTCCCATGTCTACAAAACCACTGTGACTACAAGCAGATAGAACGGAAACAAAGGTTATATAATCAGGCTTGAAACCTTCACCAATCATCTTGTCGAAAATTTTAATAGCTTCGCCTCCTCTGCCGTTCTGTGCAAACCCAGATATCATAGAGTTCCAAGAAACCAGATTCCTGACATCCATTCTGGCAAATACGCTATGGGCAGCATCAAAACATCCACATCTTGCATAAAGATCGACTAGTGCAGATTCAATTACTACGTCCCTGAATCCACCTTGCCTTAAAAACTGGCAATGAACTTCCTTCCCTGGTTTCAAAGCGGCCAATCCTGAACAGGCACGAATAACGGTTCCAAAACTGTAAAGTTCAACCCCATCCATCATCTTAAATAACTCGATAACTGTATCATAATCACCCGTATGGCAATAGCCGGTTAGCAAAGCACACCAAGAAACTGAATTTCTTTTACCCATACTGTCAAAAACCCGACGAGACTCGTTCATAAGCCCACATTTGGCATACATATCCACTAAAGAACTATCAACGAATATATCACCACGTATCCCATGAGAAACAACCTTTGCATGCACTTGTTTTCCTTCCTTCAACTTACCTAAATTCCCCACAGCTGTCAAAACACTTCCAAAAGTATGGGCACCTGGAAGCAACTTGTGTTTCCTATGTTCCGAATGGAAGATTTCCAAAGCTTTCCTAAACAAATTGTTTTTAGTAAGAGCTGAAATTACTGAGGTCCAACAAATATCATCAAGAGATGGCATTTCATCGAACAGCTTTAGTGCATCATCAGGTTTATAATTCTTCCCGTACATATCGATCAATCCACTAACAATAACACCACTATCATCAAAACCACGGGTTATCACAACCCCATGAAAACACATACCAAGTCTCAACTCCCGAAGCTCCGAGCACGCCTTGATTGCAGTAGATACAGTAAATGCACTCTGCTCAACCTCATGACCTACCATTTTCTCATACAGCACAAGCGCAAGTTTGGGCTTACCCACACGAATATAACCCGATATGATAGAGCACCAAGAAACAACATCTTTGTAGACTAACCCATCGAAGAGACGTCGGGTTTCAGAGAAATTTCTTCCCAGCTTGAAATAAAACGAAAGGAGGTTGTTGCCAACAAACCGGTCAGTATCAAGGCCAGCCTTAGTCACATGGGCCTGCAACTGGAGACCGAGGTTGAAAGAATTGCTTTTCCTGCACCCTCGTACAAGTGTGGCATATAGGGCTGGTTTCACAGTTATTACGTCTTCCCAGATGAGAGAATTGAGGAGCTTTACAGCTTTGGAGATATGGCCTGAATCGCAAAGCTGGACGATTTCAGATTCTTTGGAGGATGGGGAGAGATAAGTGCTGTAAAGTCGCCTGTTTCTGCTTCTACACAAAAACTTCGGCAACATTGACATCTACAGTTTGCCCTGGGGAAAGCTATATATTGTGCACCAAATTTTCAAGAGCGCGGAGAGAAAAAAAATGATGTTTTGTGGACTTCCGTTCAAATTTAAGTTACAGTAAAGGCTATGTTCAAATTTAATTTGTGGTTTCCATTGATGCAAAATGGTGATTGCAGAGAATTAAGAGAACGCCTGAAATGTTCAAACCAGGGGCATAGCCAGGAGGGAGGTTCAGGGGCAGTTATAAACTAAAATCACTAATAAATTTAAACATAATGATTAAAATCTATTAAAATTCATTACAATATTTTAAAGTACATATTATATATATGAAACTAAAATGTTAAGGGAGCACGACCTTCTTCATTCCTTTAGTCCTTTACCTTATCAAACTCGTCTATTTTTCTATACTTGTAGTAATAGGCTTAAAGAAAGAAGGTAGTTTTTTCCCCCTTTTTTCCTTTTTAGTAGTAGATTGGGTAGCCATACTAATTAAATTGAAAAAAATTAATAAAATAATCAATATATTATTTTGTATCAGACAATTCATATTAATTTGTTAAGAAATTGACAATCCTAAATTTCAATTTCGCAAATGAAATCATGTCACAAATCATTAACAATTTACATTCTTACAAATTCGTTTTAATAAAACTGTCAATTACTCAATCAGAATATTCAAGAAACAAGATTTGAAGCTATTAACTACTTAAATTAAAACAAATTAAAAAATCAAAGAATAGACACTTTAGAGATATGGCTTACCTGCTGCGTTGCTGCCTGGGGCGATTAGCAGAAGGCAGTCAGAACTCCCAGAAGCTAAGAAGAGAAGCACACTGGCAAGCGGCGGCGGCAGGCGGCTTGAGGCGGGTGCGGAGGGCGGGACTTAGGGTTTCTAGCGTCTCTGCGACCTTGAGACTCGCCGAAGTGCCCGAAAGGAAGATCTTCTTCCTAATGAGGCAATGGGCCAGTTAAATTGCCCCTAGCCTCTCATGGTATTGAAAACTTGGAAGAGAGTTTAACCGTGGGACTGAGTGGAAAGTGGTTGGAACCTCCGACGCCACTCGAGATATGAAGGAGCTGCGTCGGCGGTGGGTTGGTAAATTGTGGTTCGACTGCGACGACGTCAGTAGACAGTACTCAGTAGTGCTGGCAAAGGTGTTGTTGGAGTCGGGGCTTCTTTTCGGAACTCCCATTGAAGCGGTATATCAGGCACAATTTTGGATATATTGGGTGCTATTTTGGGCACTTCGTTTTGATGGAAGAACTTAATTCATACAAATAGCATTTAGCAAGTGTATAAAAGCAGAAAAGAATTTACATGTAACCATCTGCCCGTGAATGAGAATAAGAGTTAAGCACATGTAAATAAGCGGTATAAATTGTTAGACCAAAATTGGGCAACTTAAAGGCAATGACGGTTACCGCAAACTTTCCATCCTCAAACCTAATGCAAGAGTCTTACAACATAAAATAAAATATCAACAAAACAAAAACTTATTAACTTGGAAATTAAAATGCAGAAAAGGTAAATCATAAGCAAACTCCAAAACGCGTCGATCAACTCTTGGCGATGGTTCTGGAGGAGACCTGACCCTCGCAACAATTGTTGATGCACCAATCAAGGGGAGACCGGTCAGTTTCTCCACGTTGTTCGTACCCTGCACGGCTCGGTTCTCCTCATCTGCGACACATTGATCGCCAATCCCCTGCTTACCAATACCAGTCATCTCCATCTGCAATCGTCCTCCTTCAATCTCGATGTCCAAGCCCTACGAAGAGGGAAACCGCCGGACCCAAACGCCACAAAAGAACGTCGCCAGAAAATCGGCCTAGGAAAACCCTAGGAGACGGTCGTCTTTTTCACCCCCTCTTTCTCGACCCTAGAAGATGCCCAAGCCCTGCGGCCGAGAGTCGCGACAAATGAACCTGCTGCACCAGAGGAAGAATGTCGGACGCCGTACCTTGGAAGGCACCGCCCGAAAAAACGCTGGACGCCGTACCTTGGAAGGCACTGCCGGAAAACAAAAGACTACCCTACGCGGCCGTCGGCAACCCTAGGGAGAAAAAGAGCTCTCGCTATAATACCAAGTTGTATTCAATAGCTTGAAATTATTATTTTGGGCACTTTATTATGGCAATTTTCCCGTCAATAAGACTTTGGATTATTTTTCTAGGAAAAATTTTGTTGTACATAGTAAATAACTTGTACACAATTCTCTCCTTACTTATATATAAACTATATACAAATATAATAACTACAATCATTGTCCAAAGTTTTCCAACATTGACTAAGAAAAGTCAATTTGGCGAACTTTTTTGGGACGAAGGTAGTATGATTTTATGCCAAAATGCATGTGTGCACATGCAGTGTACAATTTGTGTACACCAAGAATTACTCTTGTTTTTACGGTTGAATTATCTAAAATCATTGAAGTAGTCTATATTATTTACTACGCAATTGTCAATGTACTTTCCTTTTTGGATTGTATTTTTAGGATGTTATTAAACGGTCAAATACACTTTTTCTATTAAACAAAAAATATTTTTTTACCAAATACTATTAACTTATTTTTTCAAAAACACATTTTTCTCAAACACTGCCAATTTTTATCACGAAGTATTAATCCCACTCTCTTGAATGAGGGTGATGTTCACCTCCTCTCTATTAGGTTGTCTTGTTACTCATGTACCCTTTCTTGTCATATTTCACTTTTTGGAAAGAAATATGTGGTTCACAAAATTTCACTTTATTACATTTTCAACCACTTTATTAAAAATTATGTCAACCCAAATGAGACACATAAAATGTAACGGAGGTAATACTACTTATTTATAATTGTAGTGTTACAACTTACAGATGTCAATCTACTACTGTTAGTCACTATATCAAAGCCACCCAAAATTTGGTTTGGTCACCGCTTAAAACACATTTGTATTGACCACTTTAACCCCCATCATTTACAATCCTATCATGGTCTAACAGAATCCGCCATCTACCCAAGCCCGTTTTAGGATTTTTCATCAAGTTACATTATCTCTATGCTTGATGAAGAACTTTCATAAAAAAAAATCTACCAGGAACAACCTCAAATGACCTTGGCCCGAAGACAGATCTTGTCAGGCCGGCCTGACACCATCATTCGTCCATGTATAAGAACACTAATACAAGTTGTACATGCAGAGACAATTTTAAAATGGGACTAAAATTATTACTTTTCCTAGCACTAGTGCACTACAACTAATTAATTTGTGCTCCAACCATAAGAAGTCCGACTGACATGGTAAAAAAAAGTGAGACAGTGTGGAGGTTGACGTCTATGTGTAGAAATCCATAAAGATTTGGTGACTCGCACAAAACAAGGCATTTTCTCTCTCTAAAAAAAACATTTGTGTATTAGAAACGTATTCGAGCATAATTCTTGGGATCCCTCTAAAACGCATTGGCCCATATATATATATATATATATATATATATATATATATATATATATATATCACCTCCCCATAAATATTTTACGATAGAAGGTTAATATTATAGGGTAATATTTTAATAAAAAATGAATTACTGTTAATTAAATTCCACATGGACATTTAGCTTTTGAGACTTGCTCTATATGTTAATGTCCAATCACTCCACTATTTATTATTTGTAATAGAAAGCCTTTTAATAATTTGCATTTGACATAAATTATTTAGATTAGAAAGCCATGAATTGTGGATGCTCTAAGGCCATCTCCAACAATCACCAAATCTTTCACCAAAATAGAGGTTTTGTCATTTTTTTTGCTCCAACAGCTCCACCAAATGGTTCACCATTTCACTAAAATGGGAGAAGGGAATTTTGTTTACCTTTGATGTAAAGTATGTTTGGAATATACTCCGTATATCATATATGTGCCAACTGGTTCTCTAGCTTGTGATATATGGAGCACTACGTAATTAACTCTTTATTGTAAAGAGATTTAGATATACTTGCTAACAATTTTTATATGTATATCCTATATAATTTTAAGAGTAATATTGGTAATCCGATCCGTTTGTGCATTTGTACATTTATGGATTATAGTAGTATTTTAGTTTGTATTTGTGAAATAACGAGTGAAATGTCAAAATACATATTAAATGAGGGACTAATGTATAAATATATGATAATTACATAATTAACTATAAAATGGTAAAAAGTTAGTAAAAAGAATAAAAAAGAACATTCCTTTTTAGTGATAAAAATGATATAAACTGTTGGAGATAAGGTACGGTATGATGTGATGTTCACACCATTTTAGTGCACAAAATGGTGTAAACTGTTGGAGATGAATCTATGAATAAACAATAAGTAATTCCCAAAATCTACCGCTAGAAAGCAACCACCACCGAAATTTACCGTCGAACCCTCCAACGACCAGTCTACCACTCTACCACCGTAAAGTTGCAAAAACTCCGGTTCAATAAACTCCAAAAAAACTAACCCTAATCTACCGCCAGAAAGCAACCACCACCGAAATTCACCACCAAACCCTCCAACTACCACCGGAAAGTTGCAAAAACTACGGATCGATAAACTCCAGAAAGACTAACCCCAAGCCCTAAAAAGTATAGTTAAACCCTAAATCTTAAACCATAACGCGATGCTCTAAGAGTATCTTAGACGAATATAATTACTCTTTTCAAACATATATGAGCATAAAAGTTCTACTTTTGGAAATGAGCTTAATTTTGGTCACATAAGGAGCAACTTACATATACAACTGATACAAGTGATATAACTATACAAGTATACTTGTACAGTCTCATACAACATGAACAATAATAAAAGGTTTACCATTCACATGGTATCAGAACATCATACAGGAAACTGGAAACAAGTATCATTATCCTACTATTTGTATACAAGTGATATAACTATACAAGTATAGCTACTTGTATAGTCTCATACAACATGAACAATAATAAAAGGTTTACCATTCACATGGTATCAGAACATCTTACAGGAAACTGGAAACAAGTATCATTATCCTACTATTTGTAAGGAGAAATTCCTACACGAACATTAACTACGATTGGTGTCGCAGTGCTTTCGAAGTTTCCATTATCATATATCAAATCTAAATCCCGCCATGCAACCTACCATCATGAATACGACTCACTCTAGGATTTAAAAGAACAATCATACTTTTCAAATCACCAATAGTCATATATTTGTTGATTAACTTTATTTCAATCCTACTTTTTGTCAACAGTTCAAATTTTATTTACCCGTGATTGGATTCATTTCACAGCCAATTTTCATTTACTCCATAATATTCAATAGAACATAGAACTGCTGTGAAGAGTGGTATACATAATACACTCGACAAGAAGTTCGAATACATATTGTTGGGAGCCAAAGCTGCAACATCTCACACAGACATGTCTGCTCTTACTCACTAACCTGCCTGTTTTGCCTTTACCTACTTCATAGAATTATAAAATACCATAACGTGTTCACCATGAAGGCATGACAGGCATTCGTTGGAGGTCACAAAATGTACTATATAAATATATAATAATATGATATCATATATTTTGCTTTTGCGTAATAGAAAAAAAAATGCATCCTTATTTGGTTATTTTATAAATAAATCATGTGCTTTGCTAAAAGAAACGGTAAACCAGTAACATACAACCAAACCAGTTCAATAACAACAGTATGACAACACCAAGCAACAAAACACTTAAAGTCATTCCGAGTTTTTCATGAAAGTAAAGACACAATGAAGTTCCAATGTATCGGAAGAAATACAGGGTACTACTACTCTTACTCACACAGTGCTTTACTCCTTTTAGCTGGTGGTCTCCACAGGGCTTGCATTAGTCAGCAGTCTAGCAATCTTGGCAGTGGGCATTAAGGGAAGATACGTTGCAACTCTGTACCCCTTCTCAGCACCAACTTGAACAGTCTGGTTGTACCTCTCAGACAAGTAAGAAGCCGTTGGAGCAACGGCTTGAGCCACCTTGGGAACAAGAGGGAGATGATTAAGAGACTGCCAAGCCGACAAAGCATACTGTTCGGCTAGTGGTTCGTACTTGGAGTATATCCCTTTGGCAGCAGGCTCACACTGTGTGTATACGGATTTTGCCAATATAGATGCAATTTCCACCACACCAGTACTTTTCATTTCAGAAACAACAGCACGGACAACCGATGGAGCCATCTGTGCAGTTAGAAAAGCCTGGGCTGATACTTGTTTCACAGATGGTGGAACATGATCCTCGATCTTGTGAACTGACTCATCAACCTAAACCAATAGAGCAGAGAGCTTGAAGCCTCATAATTTACAGGATGAGAAAGTAACATAGCATTAAAAAAGAAATAGCCTCTCTGAGGGAGGAGAACTAACACAGACCATTAATGTTCAGAACTTCAGATAATATCATTGGTCCTCTTTAGTGGCAGAGAAAGGGGGGGGGATAGAACCCATTTTTTCCCTTGTGCATATGCGTGTGTAACTCATTAAAATCTATATGTTGAAGTATAAAGGTCTGTCCCCCTAGAATAAAATTTTGACACCCTAACGCAACACTTCTGGCTCCACCATGGTCCTCTTTAAATAGGACCTTGGTCTTTGACATGATAAAAAGTAGTTAAGAAACTAAATCCCTTTCTGCATATTTATTTTCCACCCTTAATGATACAGTTCAAATGGAATGTCTGCCCATTTCATTCCCTTTTGGTGTCCCTAAAATAGGTTTGAATGCAGTGATTTTAGGGAGTTGGAAAATGAATGGCCAGGAGGGCAAAACAACTTTCAAGGGATAGTAACATCATGATGCACCAACTGTGAAAACCCATATTCACAGTTTCATTGCCAAAACTGTGCAGGGTCATTATACCTAAAACTAAAGTAGCGAACTTTCCCAAATGCCTCATAGATCATCATAGTTCTAATAAGAGCATTAAAAAAGATGAAATAATAGCTGTAAATGTAAAGGTGTATCACAACATAAAGAGCAAAGTTTGGTATAAGATTCATGCCATCTAGTTTCTACTCAAATTTCAAGGACTACAACATGACAAGAAAACATAATGGTCTAGATATTAGATCAAATCCAAAAGTCAGATACCAAACTTCCTTAAATTAGTGCATCTAGAGAAAACAAAATGGTCTAGATACTAACACCAAACCCAATAGTCAGATGCCAATCTTCCTTTCATTAATACATCTCATTGGAGGGTAACTTAATTTATTTTTAATTTTTTTGGGTGTAGTTTTTTCATTTTTCATTTTTTGATTCAAACACATTTGTTATTCAAGTTTCATGGAGAGCATGAATGTTTTTCAAGATAGTCCAAGATGAACTGACAATATATATCTTGAAGAGGGTCGTGGGAATCAATATTCAAATATTAGAAACCTCAGCCTTTAATAAAAGGGCCTTGATTAAGCCAGAAAATCAAGAAATGAACGACCGAACTGCCCAACATAACGAAGAGGATCAAATAAATTACATTGTAAACATATGTGATAGCGGAACTCCAAAAAACAGAACTATAGGTATTTCGAATACCTTGCGATCTACGAACTTGAGGACTTCAGACGGAACATATTGAATCTTCTCGTAAACGGGACCTACGACGGTCTTAACAGTACCCTCCACAGTCTGAACGCCAGGCTTGAGAGGGCCCAAATTCTCCTTAGCGTAACTGTAGAGCTTCGCAGCGCATAAGACGGCGTGGAGCGCCGCGACTTGCACAAACTCCAAATACTTCAACCTCTGCTCCTCGATCTGAATTTCAACCTAGGATTAACCAAACATTCAAAAACCCCAGATTCAGCAAAATCAGTTGCAAATCAATGAAAACGCACATATATCTATCATAAAAGAAAGTGAAAACAAGTCGAGAAGTAGAAATTCCGGAATCTGAAATGAATTTACCTCCTCCGGCTGCTGTTGATTGTTAGGGCTCGTTTCATCGGCCATGATCGCAGAAGGATTTCGAAATGTAACGGTGATAATAAAAATCCTGTTGCCTGGCCGGGGATTTATAGGGAGAGAAATGAATTGACGGCAGTGTGGACGGTCAATTTTTCCTTTTTAATACATAAATAAACGCGCAATGGGTATGGAAGAACAAAATTGCGCTATGCAGATATTGGAATTCGATTTGACTATTCCTTATTTCCTTACCCGCTAAGCTATTGTTGTTGAGGTGGACAAGAAACTCTTTGGTTGGGTTCTTTTTGGAAGTGAGATTTAAGAAGGGTTGACAAAAACCTTTCAATTATTTAAGTCATTTTACATGCCGATCGAATTATTTACGCACAGATAATTTAGTTAGAATGTAAAATTGTATGTACAAACAACATTTTTGAAAACTTTTATTATGTATTAAATGTTTTTCTGCTTTTTAAACAGATTCCTTTTAGACATTATATTTTTCGTTATGTTTTTATCATTTCTCTGATTTTTAAGCCTAAAGTTTAAACGAAGCGTATTAATTAATGTTATGTTTAGAAACCCTAGTCGCCCATTTTTAAGCCTAAAGTCTAAACGACGCGTATTGTTATCATGATGAATCAATCGTAGCATAGCCTCGTCGGAGATCTTTGGGGCGAACTTTTCTGATTTCTTGGTATGGATAAGATCCAATTTGATTGTTCTTTTGGTATTGTTATGTTTGTATTGTCCTATTGCGACTCTTTCCTGGGAAAATTAGTGCTTCGGTGTGGTTTGTCTCCCTCGATGTGGGGAGGAGTTTTGTTGTTCCCATCAGTTTCGATTAGGGGTGTAAACGAGCCGAGCCGAGCCCGAACTCACATATGCTCGAACTCGAGCTCGAAAATATTTTATATGCTCGAGTTCGGCTCGAGCTCGATCGAGCATAAATATTGAAACTCGAGCTCGACTCGAAAGCTTTGCTTAAAGCTCGCGAGCCGCTCGAGATCAACTCGTAAGCTTAGGCATTTGTTGCAACCTTCGAGAGTGTGCCGGTGTGAAGCTCGCTTGGTGCTGCATAAATCCTATGGAGATGAGGTGATTTATAGAAGGATGTGAGAGCAAACAACTCCTCACTTTCCGGTGTGGGAAGTATAAGAGCTATAAATGAAAAACAAATGGAGGAATCAGATCTAAGGAGTACAAAATCCTACCACCAAAGGGATTCGAACCGAGGTTGGTAGGGATAACCTAGCATTTAAACTCCACCTCATCTACTTGCCCGTTTGTGACAACATTGATGACAAACTATACTTAACCTCATTCCCAGTGAGCAAATGAAAAAACTAATACCCATTTATAGAATATTACGATTATCACATAGGTAATAGTTATAATAATAAATAATGTTATATTTAATTATTTATATTATACTATAATAATTATAAAAATTCAGTAACCCTAAATTAGAATAACTATTCCAAAAATATTATATACGTGGTATATAACTATTATACATTATACATAATATATCTATATATTATACACATACATCAAAGCTCGCGAACCGGCTCGCGAGCCACGAGCCTAAAATAAAGAGGCTTGACTCGAGCTTGTTTAATAAACGAGCCGAGCCGAACTCGAGCCGAACATGGATATGACCGAACTCGAGTCGAGCTTTTCTCGAGCGATCCACGAGCGGCTCATGAACGGCTTGGCTCGTTTGCACCCCTAGTTTCGATTGGTCGAGAGTTCTGTCTCTCTGCTTACGAACTGTGTAAAATATGGCAGGTGCATCAAGATTGTTTTTTACTTACATATCTCTACGATTATTTAGAAGAAAGCGGGAAGATAAGATTATTGCTCATCCATATTGTTGCATCTCGCCTTCACCTGAATCACCTCTGTGCCATAAAGAGATTTATAGAAAGACATTATTTCAGTATTATTTTTGCTTTAGTAGTACTTGTTTTTTATTTTAGCTCGAGTAGGTATAGTTGGAATATTTGGATATTTGGTCATTTTTTGTTAGACAATGCTTCGTTTCCGGTCAATTTAGTCTTAAAATTGCATGTTGTATGTCTAACAAGTCAAATTACTTTGTATGAGGTGATTGACCCTATGTCTATTTCTTAAGGCTTACGAATTACGATCACATCCGTAAGAGCTATCTGGAGGTTGTCTTGCATGATTTCTTTATATCAATATAAGTCGCTTTTATCATAAAAATAGATTACTTTTACAATATCACTTTTCAAAAACATTAACTTGTAAGGTAAAACATTTTTATATAATCTCTAAAATAAAGAGAAAAATTATGAAATTAGAATAAAAGAGTTTTGAAATTTTAAAACAAGAGTATTTTTTTCAACTAGAAGTAATTATTGTCAAGTTTGGAAAAAACCATAATATTTAAAGTCTGATAATGTCAAAATATGACATTAATAACTCATATTTAGAGAATAAAAATAAATTAGTTCTATTTTGGAGTTTATAAACATTGTTACTATTTTTGTATATCCTTCTAAACCTATTATAGTATAGTATTTGCTCTAATTAATGACAACATCCTTGATTGGGATATGACTCGAACCCGTGACCTCCTCTTTGGGAGATCAACGGTGATTAGTCATGGACCCGGGCTGGGCCGGTTTCGGGCCGGGCCCGGCCGGGCTTTTTTTTGGGGAAGGAAGGCCCGGGTAGCCACCGGGTCCGGGTCCGGGCCGGGCCGGGCCTCCGGTTTGGTCATAATTTTTTTTTTTTGCTTTCCTAACCCCCCCACTCACCCCCCACCCCCCCAAACCCCCAAACCCCTCCTAACCATCAAGCCCAACCCAGCTAACCTCAAAAAATGAAAAAAATAATAATAATAAAAAAAAATCAATTCGGCCCGGGCCCGGGCCCGACCCGGCCGGGCCGGTTCGCCAAATACAAGGCCCGAGCCCGGACCCGCCCCCCCACCGGGCCTAGGCCCGACCCGGACCCGAGAACCGGGCCGGTTCCGGGCCCGCACAGTGGCAGGCCGGGCCAGTCCCGGGCCGGGCGGCCCGAACTGGGTCCATGCCTAACGGTGATGTCATCAGACCACAAGGTATTCCCGTATTTGGCTTGTTACTCTTATTTAGGGCAAATTCTTTAAAATAAATCACTTTGTAAAAGTATAAATAAATGCAACCACTGCCTTATTTTGAATATTTTGTAACAGACTTTTTTACTTAGCCCGAAATGCCAAATTATTTGGTAGCCCGGTGGCTATAAGGGCGGGCTTCGAGCTCGTTGTTTTGGGTCTGACCTGGCCGGTCCCGAGCCCGGTTGCACTATTTTTTTAATTTATTGCTCAGTCCTGGCCTGGCCCGGTCCCGACCCGGTACTGTTTAGGCCTGACCCGGTCCCCGTACATACCCGGCCTGATATTTTGACAGTTGTGAGATACACATCTACCAGACCAATTTTAATTTAGACCAGACCAAATAATTTTGGTTCAATAAAAAACATCCTTAGTTACTTTTTAGAATATCCAAATCTAGCCCTTCTTATCTTTTTGTTTTCATTTTGTGATTTCCAAGTCAAACCCATTTTTTGTAAGGTTTCCAACTTGACTTTAAATACGAAGTATTAACTAAGCATTTTCTAGATATTGTACGGTTGTACCATTACAGAATTCGTAAAGTGAAGCTGATTCTAGAATCTAGATGTCAAGACAGATCAAACAACCAACTTTGTCTATCATTTACTAGTTAGTTGTTTAAATATTAAATTCATAACCACCCAAGCCTTAAGCATGTACATACAAATAACACAAACACCCAACCCGAGTTATCGTCATCAACTGAACAAAGGCCTATATAATCAAAATCTGGAGACCTGCACTCTCTGGAGTCTGGAGTCTTGGTTCATCTGACAGAAATGAAGATTGGACAAAAGAGGGGTATATAATGTGTGCAAAATCACCGATAAGTCAAAATGTCAAATACTTTTTACGGCGAGGCACAGCCTCTTCTTTAGAACTCTCCTACTTTATCTATGGCAGTATGGCACTAGGGCTAAAACGCAAATAACAGGCAAACAAACTTACATATAGATTAAAAAGAATGCTTGCAAAGACAGTTCTTAATGATGGGGTGGTGTTGCCTCTACAACAAACTCTGGATCCTCATCATCTTCATCATCATCTTCTTCACCCGCATCTATCCAGTTGTTTGGATGGTATTGAGAAGCATGACGCGTACTTTCTCTCCTGCCTGCAAATAAAACAAAAGAGAATCGCTGGCTCTAATAGTTATTCTGACAAGGATTTAGATGAATGATTCACAATTGAAGTATGAACAAACCTTGTGTCTCATTTGTGTGATCTGTTTCCTCATTACGGAAGCTGAGGTATTTAGTTAAGAAAATGTTTCTTGAAACTTGGTGATTTAAACTATATATATACATAAATACATAATGCTTAGAGGATATCATTTTAACTAGAGAACTTGCATGGTAATTGCGGAACCCAGTCATGCATAAGCTCTTAAAACCCAGTCATATATTATATGCTTTTTGTAAATGTCTATGGTAGTTATTTGAAATTTAGAATGAAAACTATACTCCCCCTTAAAATTAGAATTATATCCCATTCACATTCCACATTTGTGAGAAATGACACAACAGCTTTTTAGATCTAAAAACTCGTTGCCACTACCTCACTTGATCATATACCTTGATTGAAAAGGCTATCTTATGGGGTTTGTTACAGAATCACCTAGATTTAACAGATCCGGAGCAAGAAACAGTGTTTTAACATTCAAAAGATCTAACATGTAAGATCAGCTTATATGTGCCACCCCATTAAGGAAATTGCAGGTTATAAGTAAATAGTCGAAGTTTAAGAATAAGCAAAAAAAAATCCAGGATACTTGTTAGCACCAGAAAGCACATTTCCTGCTGCAGCTCCAACTCCAGAAATGTTGCAACCAACTCCTCTCTGAATCTCTTGCTGCTCATTGATAATCTGGTTTCTACCACTTCCTGGTAAAATTTGGTATGAAAAAAACATTAAAAAAATGTAAACTGGTTGACATGTGACAAAAAGGCATACAATTAATTACCTGAAAGGTCAGACCAAATTCTGGTATGATCAGATGGGGGCTCAGAATTATCCCCTCTTGACCCATCATGTGTTTCGGCCCCTTTTGACTGATCAGCAGCCTGACCGTTTGAATTCACTGCTTGGGGACCGCCTGTGGAGTTCACATTATTGATTTGAGATGTGAGCATGGTCGCAAGCACCAAAGCTGCATCAATGTTTGAACCAGAACCATCG